ATGCAGGAGACTATCTCAAAACAGTAAAACAAGCAAACAAAAAAATCCAAAACAACAACAAACAAACGAACAGGCTTAGGCTGGGAGAGGGGGAAGGTATCTTTATAAAGTGCAGTGTGGAGATGGTGCTGTGGCCCCGATCCCTCAGGAGAGCAGGAGAGCGAGGTGTGAGGGGGCTGTAGAGGTGTTCTATACGATATGTGGGGAGCTCAGCTGGAAGGATAGGATATCAGCAGCTAGATCAGGCCTTTGAGGCTTTGATACCTGTCCCTTGGCTTGTCTTCTGCCTCTGCTTATTCAGTCCTTGTGGACTGAAATCCTGAGTCAAAGAAGTCTTTCCTCCCTTAAGCTGTTTTTGTTGTTATTGTTCTTTTGGTTTTGTTGTTGTTGTTTTTATTTTTGCTTTTTGTTGTTTGTTTTTTTTGGGGGGGTGGGGTGTTTGTTTGTTTGTTGAGACAGGATTTCTCTGTGTAGCCTTAACTGTATTCATTAGAGTACACCAGGCTGACCCTCCTGCCTTTGCCTCCTGGGTGCTGGATTAAAGGCGAGCTCCACCACTGCCCGGCTCCTGAAGCTGTTTTTATTTGTAATTGTGGTCACCGAGATCCACAAATACATGGAGGCATAAGAGGGGGTACAGTAAGAAAGATAGAATCAGAGTTCATTTTTTTTTTTGACGTCTTCCTCCAGGACATGAGCTGAGAACCCAAGACATCCTTCACAAGTGCCCCCAACATGCCCAAGTCTTGGGGCTTGGGAAGGTTCAGCCTCCTGACTGCAGCACCACTGAATCTCCAGACAGGTGACAGCATCTTGCCGGTCACCGCGGTGAGCGTCCAATCTGCACAAATAAACATAGGTTAGAGGGGAGCAGACAGGACACAACCCCTGGGATGGAGAATCTGCTCTGCCTGGGAAGCTCAGGAAGAAGACCTCCCCAAAGGGGCGGAGGTCCGGCTGGAAGTGGAGGGCTGGGTATTTCAGGCAGAGTGAGAAGTGCGCGGGGCCAGCGAGGTCCTGACCACCCCACACTGGGACACAGAACTGCTTCCCCTGGCCATTTCCTAATTGTAGTCCACGTCTCACTAGAGTCCTCTGTGTTTCCTTCAGGCCCCCTGTACATTCCAAACTTAATTGGGCATGCCTGCTTGTCCCTCCGTAAAGGCCCACACAACCCTGTCAGGCATCGGAGCGTGGTATTAAGCCGTATTATTGAGTTCACAAATTCAACTTTCAGAGGTCTAACCAAACAAGGGATTTGTAAGTTTCAAACAGGGCAAGCCGACTACATTTCCCACGACAATCAGCTTGTTTACCACCCCAAGGTACACTTGAACCGCTGTTGACACGCTCATTTGCATGCCAATACCCAGAATGCTTTTCTAGTCCTACAGCGCTAGGATTCGGCCAGTGAGCTAAAAGGTTTATTTACACATACAATACCTGACAGCTTCATTTTCCGAAGCATCTTATGTAGCTCCCAAATGCTGTAAGTTGATGGAAGAATTTCAAACCACTGTTAAAGGTAGCACCCTTCTTTCTGGGCTAGGGTTAAGATAAATTATTCATGGCCAAATTAACATTCTAATTAAAACATTCTTGAGGGAAAGGGGATTTCTGTTATTTAGCAAATGTCATATTAAGCTTGATACTCTGGGCCAGGGTTATGAAGATAAATCACGTGGGCACAGACAGCTTAGTGAATGCAAATGGTACCAGAACATTGGCTGGTCACCAGAGGGCCTTGAATTAAGTGATGTTCTTATAACTGGAATTCTCTTGCACTGTGGCATGTGGGATGGATTTACACGTGTGCTCATGTGTGTGTGTGTGTGTGCACGCATGCACACACACACACACACAAACATACAAACACAAACACACACCTTGGTTTTTCAAGACAGGGCTTCTCTGAGTAGCCCTTGATGCCCTGGAACTCACTCTGTAGACCAGGCTGTCCTGGAACCCAGAGATCTGCCAGCCTCTGCCTCCTGAGCACTGGGATTAAAAGCATGTGCCACCACCACCCGCTCAGGATAGTATTAATATTAAGGGACATTGGGGCTGTGGATGTGGCTCAGTGGTAGAGCACTTGCTTGGCACACACAAGACCTTGGGTTTGATCCCCAGCATTGCAAAGTACCAGGCACTGGATAAAATGGCTTAGAAGGCAGAAATACACAGAGCTACCTACATTTGCCAGGATTATGAGTATACTAACAACACTGTGTGAATTGAGAGCCAGGGTGGTACACACACCTAGAATCCCAGCACTAAGGAGGAGGCAGGAGGATTGAGGATTGGTGGTGAACCTGAGTTCTATGGAGTTTAAGGTCATCCAGAGCTGCATAGAGGTGAGACCTTGTCTCAAAACCTACCCAGACAAAACAGATGTGAACCAATGTTATTGCCACTGGCTGGATGTTCATTGCTGTTTGTTACGGGAGAAGTTGATTTTCTTGATATTTTGTTCCCAAAGTCAGATTTGCAGATATTAAGTAAGAAATTGTGAATTGGGAGGCAGAGGCAGGCAGATCTCTAGGAGTTCAAGGCCAGCCAGAGTCAACGTAGTGAAACATTGTCTTAAAACATAAAATCAAATATTTTTATGATTATAATATTTTACAATAAAAAGGAAGAAAGAAAAGAGGTTATGACTCCTGTGCTCAATACAACTTTAAAAATTATTTGCTGTTTTATTATATTCTAAAAGTTTTGTCTTCTTTTGTTTTGAGGCAGGGTCTCTATGTGGAGCCCAGGCTAGCCTTGGAATCCACAGTCCTCCTGCTGGGGCTGTATGCATAACCCATCAAGCCTAACAACTGTTTGGCTTATTGATTGATTGAGTTTGAATTTTTGAGAGCAGAGCTTACTATGTAGCCCAGGCTAGCCACAAACTCTTCACTCCCTTCCAGCCTGACTACCCAAGGGCTGGGAATGCAGGGACCACCATCACTACTAATATTGTTTTATTTTTAATTATTTTTTGTAGCCACTAGCCTTAATTTCTGTGTAGTTGAAGGGAAGGGTATGGCGTCAGGGTCTCTTGAGCTTATGAAAGTATATGGGCACCCAGACTCTGTGTGGCTAACAGAATTACTCTTAATTTTTATTTTTATTTTTTTATTGTCTAGTGCCACAAATGGAGGCTAGGTCTTGAACACAATGCACCACCGAGCACACTCCAGCCGCAGAAGCAGCATTCAATACATTTGAGAACACAGACTCGGAATGAGGCCGAGAGCCCCTTAGCCTCTGTCCCCCACCCCCATGTGTGAATCCTGCTTCTCATAGAAGGATTAAGACTTGGATTGAGAGATGCTGCTGCCAAGATGGCTCGCTTGGCCTTTAAGAGCACTGGCTGCTCTTTCAGAGGACCTGGGTTCAGTCCCAGCATCCACATGGCGGCTCGCAGCCACCTGTAACTGCAGTTCCCGGGGATCTGATGCCATTTTCAGCCTTCTGTAAGTACCGAGCATGCATGGTGCACAGACATACAGACGTGCACACAGAAAAAACACCCATACACATAAAATAATTTTAAAAATTAAAAACACATGGATCTGGGCTATGCCAAGGAAACGGCCATAGTCCCTCTCAAACATTTTGGTCTCACGGACTCTGACACTCTGAAAAGTGTCCAAGGTTCTACACTCTTTCGACACTAAAATGTATGTTTGCTTTAGGAGTAAAACCACCCATGTAATGTCAGCACTGGGGAGCCAGAGACAGGAATGTAAAGAGTTTAAGGCTACCCTGGGCTATATAGCAAAACCCCAAATAAAAACAGGTAGAAAAGCCTCCACCATAATTAAAAGTATTTATTGTTTATTGTTATTATTGTGTAGAGGGACACATATGTCATGTGACTGTGGCAGTTAGAGGACAACCGAGTCACCATGTACAACATAGAGGGCCACTCAGGAGGGCACAGCCTGCACCCAATCGTATACATGGCTTCTCAGGAAAGCAATCACTGCTGCTCCCGGAGAGCGGAGGGTGTGCCGAGAAGAGGGTCGTCCTGCTCCAGCTTACGGCTTTGGATGAAGACTCCTAAATTGTCACCCTGCCTGGAGGAGCTCTGGACAGAGAACTCTGCGTGGACAAGCCTCACCTCCATTTCTGGCACCAAGCACCACTTATCCACTGGTCAGGACACGACCCAGTTCCAGGAGAAGACCAGTACTTTCTGTGGTCTCCACACCAGTCTGCGCAGGGTCTAAATGAGTTGATCATGATGCAGGTTGCTACGTTATGCCCAGTTGTTGGCATTTCTTCTAGGCTCCGCCCCACGGTTACCTGGCAATAGTCAGGCGTGCCTGACACAATGTAAAAGGGGCTCCTTGCCCCCACCTCGCTCTCTTCCCTTCCTCTCTTCTCTTGCTTTTTCTTCCTCTTCTCCCTTTGTCCCATCTCTCTCCATTCCTCTCCCCCCCTCTCTCTCCACGTGCTCATCACTGGCCTCTACTCCTCCTCTCTCTCTCTCTCTCTCTCTCTCTCTCTCTCTCTCTCTCTCTCCCCCCCCCCCCACCCCCCCCCCCCCCCCATGCCCTGAATAAACTCTGTTCTATACCATCATGTGATTGGTCCCACAGGGAGAAGGAGAGCCTCAGCATGGGCCCACAGTGCCCCTCTTCCCCTACACCATACCACACTTCCACGAAGCATATCCCTGGTTTCTTTTTCTTTTTTTTATAAAACACACCAGTTTTAATTCAGGCCATGGAAGCCGGGTCTGGCTAGTTAAGTAGAAAAGGAAATGAGCTGGGTGGTGCTGGCACTCAGGAGGGAAAGACAGGTGGACATCTGAGTTTGAGGCCAACCTGGTCTACAGAACAAGTTTCAGGACAGCCAGGGCTACCTATAGAAAGCCTGTCTCAAAAAACCCAACAATGAGAGAGAGAGAGAGAGAGAGAGAGAGAGAGAGAGAGTGAGAGAGAGAGAGAGAAGTAAATCATCTGATACTCGATGGAAAAACTGGGAAAAAAAATGCCTTAGGCCCTGACCTTAGAGGTACCAGTACTGCTGCTGTGTCACCTGTGTGTCAGGAGGTAACACAGAGGAGAGAGGCCATGTCTATCCTCAGTGTTCTGACCTGTGAACAGCTGAATGATTAGTAGCCTAACACTCCCTGAAAAAAAGTGAGTCTGAGATGACCACCAGTCTGGCACCAGGCAGGCCTGGAAGGGCTCCCAGGAAGAGAAGCAAACGGGAGACTAGGAGAACCCACCTGGGACCATGAGCCCCAGACAGACAACCATATCACAAGAAGCCACTTGGTTAGGCCTGGCAAGGATCAAGCTGGAGATAACTGGTGCCATGGGGCTTGGACAGGGAGCTAGCTTGAGGTGACTATCTGTCCAGCGCTGGACAGGACTAGGGTATAGGGGGCAGATCACACCTGAGATGACCCCTGCCTGGTGCCATAATGCATGAGCAGGGCAGAGCATTGCTGAGACCACTCTGAGAAGACCCCAGACACTCAGAGACCCATGGTGCCACTAAAGGAGCAAGTAAGTGGTGGAGAAATGGAAGAGAAAGAAACAGAAGGATGTGGACACACGAAGAGAGGCAGACCTGAAGACTCAAGGGTAGTGAGGAAAAGCCTGACGTGAGGAGCCACCTGAGACCATGGTGGGGTCCTGACCTGTGCTGCCACCAGGGTCTGTGGTCCTGCAGCAGCAGGGGTCTGTTACCACCAAAGACCAGGTGGACATGCCTGATCTAGATTGCCTGCAGAACTGGCCCGCCTCTCACCTGCACTGTCCCTGGAGGCATGAAAACGGTGGTGGGGACCTGGGGGGAACTGACCTCTCCCTTAGCCAGCTGTATTACTCCAGAGAGTAGGCCCTGCAAATTGCAGGAGTTTCAGGTGAGCTGGCTGAGGATACAGGTGTGGAAGACCTGGTCCTACCACTGGTCTCTTATTTGGTGGCAGGGACAGGGCAGAGCAGCCCTCCTTCTCCCTGCTCCTGTGGCACGGAGGAGACATGGCCCTGGGGTCATAAGAGCAGGAGAGCTGGCCCTGCAGTTCCCTGGGGTAGCACAACAGAGCTGGCCCTGGATATGAGGGTTGGGTAAACAGGACATGAGTGCTGAAGAGCCAGCCCTGTGTCTGGTCTGCTGGGCAGTGGCGTAGTTGAGGGAAAGACACCCTCCGTTCCCCCCTTGTCCCTTGCCATCTACGGCAGGCGAGAGAGTTGGCATGGGGTTGTGAGTATAGAACTGGCCCTGTCCCTCACCAGCTGCCACACTGAGCAGAGCGGGCCTGCACCTCACCTGGGCAGCAGGGTAGAGCTGGCCGTGGTTGCAGGGGTTTTGCGTGAGGCAGCCCCAAAGGCATGAGAGTGGGACAGCCTGGGAGCTGACTAGCTCAGATGCCTCACAGGCCCAGATCCAGGTCTTTGAATTAGCCCACTCCCACATCTGCCCATCAATGAACTGCTGGAGTCCATGGAGGGGCCAGTCCTGCAGATCCAAACTAAGGGATCTCCATGACACAGGGCAACAACAGGATGTCTGAGAAATGTCCCAGAGAGGTTTCAGTATTGATAGAATAGCAGAAGCCAGAGGCCCTGTATCAGACCAAGGAAGGAGTCATTGCAATGAACATTCACAAGCAAAGAAAGGTGGTCAAAAGGGTACACTGTGGGACACACCGTGACATGCCACAACTTCTTCTGTTGGGGAGGAGGTTACAAGGGTAGAGGGCTTGAGGGGAGAAGATGAGTGGGATTGAGGTGCGTGACGTGAAATTTACCAAGAACCAATGAAAAGTTGTTTTGTTTTTTTTTTGTTTGTTTTTTAAAAAAGGTTTAAAAAGCAAGCCGGAGAGTCTGCTGTGGGCCTCTGGCTTAAGGCCATCTCTGAAGTGTCTGTCTGGACAATGACTTTACCATTGGTCACTGGCCATCAAATGGAGGCTTGATAAGGAACAACTGGTACATGGCAAGCAGCTCCGAGTTACTCCTCTCTCACCTCAGACTGCGGGGGACAGGTCCTGTTCCCAGACCTGAGTAGCATCAGGTGAGGTGGACAGCTAATATCTAGCCTCCATTTGATTTGGTAGTGGCAGTTGGCCCCTGTACACAGGGATGTTCTGTGGGTGGGGAGGATGTCCCACAGGGCCCAAGCGTCTATTTTAATAGATGCTCTCTTCCAGAAGAGAGTTTTGTTTCATTTGTGTGTGTGTGTGTGTGTGCGTGTGTGTGTGTGTGTGTGTAGCCCTGGCTGGCCTGGAACTCAAGAAATTCACCTGCCTCTACCTCTGGGATTAAAGGCCTGAGCCACCACCTCCCAGTGAGATTTTAATTTGCATTTCACAGAACACAACCTGGATGTAAGGATCAGAGAGAAATGGATGCTGAACAGAAAAAAAACAAAACAAAAACAAAAGCAAAAAAACAATAACAGAAAACTAATGTTTGTCAGATAGCCTGAGTTCAGAGAGAATTCATGTAACTCACCTAGGGCCACCTTAACAAAGACACCTTAACAAGACCAGGCAGTTTAAACTAGGGGCATTTACTGTCTTATAGTTCTTGAAGCTGAGATCCAAGACCAGGATGGTAGCAGTATGGGTTCCTTCTAAAGGTGCCACCTTCCCCACCTGATTTCAGTTTTCATTGAGATAGGGTTTCGCAGTGTAACCCAGGGTGGCCTGGAAATCCTGCTCCACTAAACCGGGAAGCTGTCTTCCCAGTGCTGGCACAGCAGGGATGCCCAGCTCCTTCTGTGTCTTTTCTGAGTCTGTCGATGCCCTCACCTTCTCTTCTTTTAAGAGTTCCTGATATTCTGAATGTGACCATACCTCACCTTCCAGCCTATTTAAAGACCCTATCTCCTACTGTAGGTACATTCTGCAGCACTAGGGGGTAAGCACAATAATTTTAGGAGGAAGTGCCCCTTTCAGTACACACGGAACTGTTCTAAAAAAAAAAAAAAAGTCACATCATCCTAACACCAAGGAAATAGCTATCTGTGTCCCCCAGTACCTCTCTACCGGAGTGATGGGGAGCCAACACAGGTGACGACTGGACTGACCCCATTGGCCTTAGTAAATAGCCAAGCCCAATACAGCCAGCAAAAGAAACTGCTCCCTAAGGATTCTCTAAACTCAGGCCCAGTCTGACCACAGGGATGAGCACCAGGACTCCTGAAGGCCATATCTTCCTTACCTGCTGTAGCCCGAGTGCATGCAAAAACACAGGGCTCCTCATCAGCCTTTAACACACACAGTAAGGACAACACCAACCTTCTCAATAGGCTGCAAAATAAGGATGTGAAGTTGAGATGGGGGAGTGGGGAGAGGAGGGGCCTTAAGAAGAGTTGTGGGTGGAGAATGGGCCATTGATATGATCAAAATGAATTATATAAGAGTATGAAATTTTCAAGGGAGGAAGAAAAACAAAAACCTAAGCACCTCCCAATTTGGGCATGACTCAAGGGGCATGTCTCCCCTTGAGCTGAGAGGCCAGGAAATCTGCTGTCAGATGGAAAGTTCCCAGCCTTATTCTTCCTCCCCTGGTGGGAAAACAAAACAAAAAACAAAAAACAAACAAACAAAAAAACAAAAAACCAAACAAACTGGGAACACCAGGGGTTGGGGCCACAGGGTGTGACAAGGTGACCACTAAGTACAGTTCTAACCTAGTCTCCTAGATTCACCAGCTGTTTTTTCTGGTTTGTTTTGTTTTTAAGCCAGGGGTTTATGTAGCCCAGGCTGGCCACAGACTTACTATGTGGCCAAGGGTGATAAGGAATTTCTGATCTTCCTGCCTGTACCTAGTGCTGGAATCTACCTGGTCTATGCTGTGGACAGAGTTATATTTTGGGAGAGGGAAACCATCATTCATGCAAGATAGGAAGAATGCTATTGGCTGAGCTATGTCCTCAGCCCCTTTGACTTGTTTTCTTTATATTTTAAAAACCTTTGTTTTGGGAGAGGGGTTGTGTGAGGGGGGTGGGGGGGACTATGGGGAGAGGAGGGGGCCAAGATGTGAATGTAAAGTGAATAATAGAGAAAAAAAGAACATAAAGCTATTTTTCAATTGATCTTATGTTAAAGGGAAAACAAAGCTATTTTCTCAATTTAAAAAATAAAATAAAACCTTTCATTTTGTGCCAGGCATTGTGTTACAATTCATTTCCAGCACTAGGGAGGCAAAGGCCTTGAATTTGATTTTGAGGGCAGCCTGGTCAGAGTGAGTTCTGGGACAACCAGGGCTACACAGAGAAACCTTGTCTCAAAAAACAAAACCCCACCACTAACAACAACAACAAAACCCCTTCATTTTGCCTTAGCCTTTCTAACACTCACGCACGCGCACACACACAGACACACACACACAAATATGCACGCACACACGCTCACACACACAAACTTACTAGTACAGTAGCCACTCATTTATCTGCTGTTTTATATTCTTTGGCCTCAACTGCTTATGTATGTACATTTTTGATGGCTCTGGTTTGAACCCATGGCCTTATATATGACCAGCATGTATTCTGTCACCTAGCAATACTTCCAGCCCTCTTTGGTCCCTGTTTTCAGAGGTTTCTGTATTGGAATAAAGATAAGAGTTTAATAAAAAGGAGTTGATTTTTAAATTCAAACTGTTAAGTACTGATAAAAACTGGCATGTGCTCTGGAAAGCATAATGGAGGAGGGGGAGGGGAAGAGAGGAAAGGAGAGGAGAGAAGAAAAGGAAAAAGATTTGTGGGGGACACATCTCAGGTTCAAAAAATGCTCTCCCGAAAGGTTCCCTCGTGAGATACCACTTACTTCGTGAAGCCCACTCATCTGTAAGTCCTGAGCCATCCATAGACACAGGAAGCTCTGGGAAGGCTCTGCTGGCTTCTGAGCCATTCAGCAGCAAGCCCCCCAGATCCCAACCTTCGCCCCTGAGCTGCTGCTGAAGAGTGAGGCCTTTGTAGTACTGCCTCCCTTCCTCCCTCTCACACCACACCACAGCTCAGGTCCAGCACATCCCATGTCTCAGACCCAGGAAACTGAGAGAGAGGGAGGGAGAATGTTCAGAGTTGAGCTGTGTGATTCTGGCCATTGAGGACTTCAGCCAGGACAAGTCAGATCCTTAGTGGTTTTCAGCCTGAAGCATTTCTGCCCTTC